AACCAAACTTAGACCATAGATGCGTCTAAGTTACTACACTTAAACCATTTCATGGTTCATTGACTTGGTCAGCATCTCTATCAACATTATTTTTTTGCGTTTAATTTATCAAATGCTGGGGCTCTCACTCATTAGTAATCCATATCATCTGTATTACATATTTCGTCAATTTTGGCTTGTAATTCCAGGGGAATTTTACCCCCAATACTTTATTAATTTAAATATTATTCATTTACTTTGTCAGTAGCTTCTTTATATGTATCATCATCTCCAGGAATACTTAGAGTCAAGTCGCTTCTCTGCAGCTCAGTAGAGTCAAGCTTCTTCTCTAGGTCTATTCTATTTCAAGTCTTAGAGTCGAGTCTCTTCTCTGCAGTTCAGTAGAGTCGAGCTTCTTCTTTAGGTTAAGAGTTTTCTATTTCTTATCTTCTCCATAAATACTTAAGAGTCAGGTTGCTTCTCGGGAGTTCGGCAGAGTCAAGCCTCTTCTCTTGGTGTCTTTTTGGAGTCTTGATGTTAAATTTTAAGTTTAAGTTGTATTAAGGGTATGTTAAGCAAGTAGAGTGAGTAGCCCCAGATATGCCAAATGTTAATAATGTCTACATGTACTTCTCAGTGTATCTTATTCATGATTTTGCTAACATGTGTAATAAACAGGTAACTGTTTATCGTGTTTTAGTTGTATATAAAATGATAATTTGACATGTTAAATGCTAAAATATAGTTTGTATACAACTATATGTACTTCTGCATACATGGCTTATTTAGTGTATGTTTTGTTTAGTCATGAATTCACAATGTTAAAATATGCACTTAAATGTTCATGTACATTTTGTATCTTTTCTTTGTGTTGCTTATTACAAGAATATATGCTTTGGCAGGTCTATTTCCTGTGTTGTGTCCATATGCATCTTGATACGTAGCTATATAGCTAGTCATATCTCTATGCAAGTTGTTGATCTATTTATGCTAATGAGTGGGGTAGGTTTTGACCAATCAGCATTATCCCCTAGAGGGGTATTAGTATTGACAGCATCCAATTCATTCTTTGTTTTTACGCACCCACCCACCGTCCCTAGATTCACCTTTGATATACTTTTATTTATTTAACTTTCTTCACAAACCATTTTTCTTCACAAACCGTGACCTGTTTCTTCCTGTATATTGTTCCTTATATTGTTAAGTGGGCTACTCACTCATTGTAATTTATTCTTTAACTCAGGTTTAAATTCCAGGCTTTTAATTCCAGGGGAATTTAACCCCCAATACTTTTTTAATTTAAATATTATTCATTTACTATGTCAGTAGCTTCTATATATGTATCATCATCTCCAGGATTACTTGGAGTCAAATGGAAAACATTAAACAGTTTGTTTTTTTGAATGCTGGGCCCTACTTCTGTATCGAATGTGTTTCGTGCAGTCGTTTTGAAACGCTCTCAAATAGCCAACGACACATTTCAATCTATACTGGTATTTTCACTTTCACAAAAGATTTGTCTGTGCTATCATATCGCTGTGTGCCAATTCCATGACAATTTGTGCCGAGGTAATGTTATATAGGACCCCACAAAAAACCAAGAGGGGTGGCCAGTTGAAATTTGTTCTAGAACGTCCATACTTATGAAAAAAGAGGTCACCCTTCGACAGCAAGGGGGTGCTCACCTGCATTAAAAAGGGCCCGTGGCCCCTGGGGTATTACGCACAATTTGTCATGATTTCTTGATCATCCAATAAAAGATAACCAACTAAACGAACTTTAAGGTATGTTCAGTGTGCAGACACTTAAAACACTAGTAAACGGAATAAAACTAGAGCAAAATATAAATAAAAGAAACATTTTCAAAGGGACCCTTGAAAAAGTACAAGGATAATAAGACCAGAGGTTCCCGGAGGGTTAAAGTCTCTGCTGCATCTATGACAATGGCAATGCTCATTAAATTCAGTTAAAACATGACTCGTCCTCGGAATGAGAACCTTGGTAATAGTGATAAAACATCGATTTTTTACAATATCACACCAAGCAAAACTCAAATTTGCTATGAGATCATATGATAAATACCATAAGACATGCGCAGGGGCTTTTTGAACCTCCATGTCTTGAAACCGTGTGATGTGCGTTTGCCCGTCAGCAAAGCAGTCGATTTTAATCACTCAAGGAAATCACAACATTCGAAACAAACTCTTTAATATCGATTTAACTGCGATATGCACTTAGCCTATAGGCTGCTGATTCTTTGTTTATTAATTTACGTATCTATTAATTTATTTTAGGAAGTAGCTTTAAAGTACGAAGGAAAGAGTCTCCCCGTAGGTCGGACGTTTATCTCGTTTCACGTGTTCTGCTTCAAGTTAGGTGGAGTAAATAGGGATATTAGTTCGAATAATTGGCAGTTCACGATATAAGAACTCAAATCGTCACATTCATCGGACAACTTATTAGTTATTCATCTCTGTCGATCCCGTTGAAGGTATTTATGTAATTTTCAAGGAATGCGATTGGAGAATCTGAACAGACTGACACTCAGTAGGGAATGAACGATCTCCGCGGTCTATATATTTCCAGTTATTTTGACAACATTATTAGTTATCTCTGGGTTAGGAGGCGTCTTCGGGCTCATTGACCCTAGCCGAAGGCGAATGGCCGATACAGACAAAGTGTCCTTTGAACCTGTATACCCCGCCTAACCCAGAGAAAACGAATTTGTCACCATGACAATTTGTTATTATTTTTTTTTTCTGCAAAAATTATAAGACCCTTTGTGAGCTTGAGTTGTACTTGACACTTACCAAAATAGCCCCTACCGGACACCGTTTCGAGACCATCTTTATAATAAGCACCTTAGCGGCCTTTTCATTTCCTGCTTTGTTGAATTAGCTGTCGTTTAAATTGCTTGTAGGCTATTTCATACTGTGAATGATTGGAAAATTTCGAACGCTTGAGTGTGTCTGATACCAACTTTGTTGTTATGCAGAGATATTCTAGTTTGAGTTATCTCCCTAGCACGTGCTTTAAATACACGTGAAATATAGACCCCGGCAAGATATCCAATCAGAAAGAGTGTTACACATTAGAAGGGTGACAAAATCTTTATATAGTTGGCAATGAAATTGAAAAACAAAAATGCAAGGATTTTTTCTCTAGTCTTGGAGAGCTCTGCAGTAAATTCAGCCTGAAATTAAAACAACTCAGCCTATAGGCCGCTGATTTCACTCTTTATTACGGCGTTTTGCATATCTGATCAGCCTTGTTGAATAAATAAATATCATCAATAATATGTCTAGAAAACATCAAAGACTGCTATTTGCATACCTGCATGATGGCATTTAAAGATATATAACTGTTTTAAAAATAACAGGACAATCTTGTTTCTTTGAAACTTCTGGGTTCATGATATTTTTTAAATTGTGAATCACTGAATAAAATACGTGTGCCTATTTTAAACTTACAGTGTAAGTGTTAATATCACGAGGTATCAGTTACGGAGTATAGCACGCATTCGTACGACCCCTATTTCCCCAAGGGAGTAAAACAATATATATGCTAATAATTTCAGTTATATTTGTACATCAAAAGTTTTAACAACAGACATTTGTACCTAACAGCACTCAAATATTTTGACGTCTGTTCATACTCCTTTCCCCTTTTAAGAAGGGATTGAAATGGGGGTAGGGGGTCGGGGTCGGTAAAATATATTATGATAAATTATGTGATTTTGGTTGATACTACCAGATTTTTCAAATGAAATGCAATCTCATCAACTATGAATATACGTAGTGTATTAAAATTGACGCCGTTCGTTTCCCTTCTGTTTTAATTGGCAAACCCTTCATACGAAAGTATTCTATTGTATTTTACCTAGCCATGCATATACGTTGTATAATATTGGAACTAAAATATATATTCTATTTTACTGTTAAATGCATGTCAATACAAAACGATTTCAGAAGTAAGAACCCTTTTTATCAAATTTACTTTATGAATTGTAATATTCTTTGATGACAGATAAAAAAAACATACATTTAAGTGCATGTCATTTCTATCAATGTAACATAAACAGCTCTTACAAAGACATCACATGAATATTGGTAATGATAGCATATGTCATTAACATAAACCATAGATTTTTAGGGCTAAGAAACATATGTTATTGGTTCCCAGAAGTCTACTGGGTTATGTGTCCTATATCCTTACATGTTCCTATGACACAACTAATATGTGTAATGTGTAACCGAAAATAGAGGGAAATCTCTGTATGATTGATATGGTTCTCAACATGTTTAAATAAAAAAAATAAGAAGATTTTTGGACAAAAAAGAAGGGCAAACTGTTTTACCAGATTATCAAAAATTTTATCAACACAAGACTTTGAGGAGATTTTGAACAGCTTTTTCTTTGGAGTGTTTTTCAGACATATTTTTGAGGAAATATATTTGGTCTCGCGAAATTTCATAACACCATGTCCCTACCTACTTGCGAATATTGTTGACAAAATCTACCCTTCTATGAGAATATTACCGTAAAGATGTAAAATGGTCGTTTACGATAAGTACTTTACTTAAACGGACTGTTTGTTAAGAAAAAATATGTGTGTAAATAAATCATATAAAGAATTCAGCCTACAAATTTGGTATGGGAGTGTTGATTATTGAACACTGATGTTTGGATTTAAAAAGTTGTTGGCCGCCTTCAGCTATGGTAAATGCATTTACACAATTTAAGCACATTATTATTCGTGTGTTTATGTGTTATTAAACTTGATCAGATATATTAATTGATTAATATGGATATCGATCGAATAGTAATAAATGATGGAAGTGAAATAGTTTTTTATCATAGTTTATTTTTCTTGAAAACTTTCCTTAAAAACGAATGAAATGAACCATAGCGATGACCTTATATTGTTTCTATATCCAAATGTATGGAAACGTAAAAAGGACAGCCGAAATTCATATTTCGACTTACAAATAAACAATGGATGCTTAAGAGAAAGTTTAGGCATAGACTGGTGATTTTGAAGAAAATGTTAAGATCCTAAATAAGCAAACCCCTGACACCAAAAGCAGACAGCGGGGAGTACATTGCTGAGAATAAATCGGTTTATTTCAATCCGTATGTGAATTTCTTGCACGCTCGTATCAAACAGTTACAACCCTGAGGTAACAAGTCATGCCTGAGGAAGAACAGCCCTAAATCCGTGTTCGCGTGATCGAGCTCATAACTTGGTATGTCGTCTTCGTCAACATCATAGTGGAGGAAAATATCTGATCTGATAACATCCGGTGTCCGGTCCTCAACTAAAGAGTGCCAATAGGGGTAATACCTGTCACAGTATATCAGGTAGGGCCTCCTGACAAACCCGGCAGGGGCACACTTCGTTCCACTTCCGCAGCAACCAACCCTTAGCAAAGTATAAGACATGTACAAGATGTATATAATTCTAATGTTACATATCTTTATTAAAAAGTATAATAATTTAGTTATTTAAACAAATGTATATGTGAGTACTAACATACTATTATTAGTTTAAGTTTATAGAGATGAATGAAATACTAATGTTGTGACCGAGTGTGATCTATATCCTTTAAAATACGTCTTTATACAGCACAAAGATAATTTTGAAGACAATCAATACACACTTGAATACATGGATATTTTTGTTTGAATATTCTTTTAACAGGTCTGGACAGTTTTATCATACACACAGAGAAATGAGAAAAAAATAGGTTGTTTGTTTAGTTATTGATAGTTTGTTCTTTGTGTTTTGAGGTGGTGTTTTTCATGTTTTGCCTTTCGAAGGTTTTTTGAAAGATTTCGAATATCATAGGAAGTTCAAATATTGAATTCAAAATGTTTTAATGTCGAATAATTAAAATAATCACCTTCTTTCACATTTGGCAAACGTCACATTCTGTAATTTTGGGTAGACGACTACGCACAGCTCATTCCAATATCTCCAGAATCCGAATATAGTCTTCAGGTCATAGGGACATTGATTACCTTCACTGAGAGAAAAAAAATGCAATTGATAATTAGTGAAGCATTTGATGCCTTTTAGATGCGATCATGGGCATTCATACTGCCTATGGTTTGGTTTGTTTGTATTTTACGTCCTTTTAACAGCTATGGTCATTAAGGACGTGCCCGGATTTGGTGGTGGGGGAAAGCCGGAGTTCCCGGAGAAAAACAACCGACCTATGGACCACATCTGAAAGCAGTTTAATGCTTATATTTACATGCCCTCGTCTTTATGCTAGTGACATTCAAAAAATGTAAAAATACAACGAAGAATCACTGGCATTGTCGACTGATGGTACAGCCTAAAACACGTGCATTTAGTCCTTGCACGCAACAACTGTGAAACATTTTTTTTTACCAGTTTGTACTCACTTTATATCATGTTTGGTATTGTTACAACCGCAACGTAATTTTAAACATAACACATTTATTATCATGATTACTGACATCGTTTTTAATGACGTCACATGGCGGAGGTATGTCCGGTAAAAAATTGGAAATTGAGTAATGCTGTCGTCGCGAAAAATATGTCGCTGTCCTTTTGTTTGACGACGCTATGGTTTGATTTGTTTGTGTTTTACGTCCCATTAACAGCTATGGTCATTTAAGCACGTGCCAGGTTTTGGTGGAGGAGGAAAGCCGGAGTTCCCGGAGAAAAAAACATCGACCTACGGCTAGTACCTGGCGACTTCCCCACGCAGGCCTCGAACTCATGACACAGTAGTGGAGGGCTAGTGGTAGCAGAATGTCAGACGCCTTAACCAATTTGCCACCGCTGCCCCTGACACTATTGAAACATAGTGAAGGTCAGTAGGTCGCAAAGGAACTACATGATATGTAAGAATAGAACATAAAATTGCTGGTCGACATCATTGTGAGAGCTGAGAAGATAGAATTTTCTCTGGTCGTGTTACTCTAGCCGCGTGCATTGATAGCGACCTTTCAGTTTAAACGGTGCGCGAAACAAACGTACCGGAAACTCAGGCAATGAGATCTTCCCTCTTACATAACAGTATTGACCATTTTAGAGTATGGTAATTTCAATATCTATGATTTCTTTGGTTTCATGGTCGAATAGTCCTCTTCTCATCCAAACATTCCAAATGAGAGTCAAACGTGGCTTCTGTTTTATCTGTTTACATTTTAGTCACGTTCGTATAAGTACTCATTACGGTTTATTATCTTATAGCTCGAAACAATATAACTTCATAAAAATTGCTACACTTCAGTTTACATTGATACGAATTAATTTTAGTTTGCATTCTGATTAGTGGCACGGTTCATAATATACCCTCTTTACAAATTATGCAATTTGAAGTTAAACATTGCTTATCTCAATTTTGGAATCCACTCAATTAAGGGGTTTTATGCATCTCCTTTTCGAATTCTCAAGTATCTAAGACCAATTCTGATTTCCAATGTGTGGCCCCTAGCATCGCCGATTAGTCAAAGAAGGACGAAACAGCTGTTGTTATTTCTAGACAGAACATTAGGGTCCCGTAGAAAAAAACAATTGTTTGTGTGAGTGTGGGTTACTAAATCGAAATTTAGAGATACATAGATGCAATTTAAATGATTTGTTTACATCTATCCCACTGCAAAATCATTGATATGCTCTCATTTACTTTGCTTGTGTGTTCAGTGTTCTCAGATTGACCAGTACATGCGTTCTTTTGCTCTTGCTTGGAGCGTCCTATCCTTGCTGACATTGAAATACAACATTAGAGTACAGTATTGTTTAGTGTTTTATTAATATTTGTTTCGTTAAACATACCTTCCATTTGATTGGTCAAATATACACTTGGTCTCGGTATCATCTTCTGAAGGCTCAGCTATTTCCAGAAGGAAGAGCTTGACTTGCTTATCCAACATCAAGGCATAGCGCAGACGTATTCTGCAATTTATACGAACCACAACTTCATAAACCATGATTACGTCATAGAAAAAGTTAGTTCCCCTTTTTTTCTTGGATGTCTTTATGAATGTTTTCTTGATATATAATTGAAAAACTTATTTAAATTTAGTGATGCATTTTATTCTATGTTAAAAAATCCATTTTCTTTTAAAGCAATTTTCTGCCAAAATCTCAGTTTTAATATTGAAGTGCATGGGTAAGAAAAAATACTCTGATTTTAAAAAATGGCTAATTCTTGAACTGTATTATAAATGTATATATGTCTCAATAATAATATAAAAAATCCATGAAAAAAACCCCGGAACGATCCGTGATTTTTCTTTTGAATTAAGTAAAAGACTAATGCTTTCTTCAAAAGAGGACCAGTTAGGGTAAAAAAATCAAATATAATATTCGTATTTTACAATGAAAAGACTTTGTATGCGCAAAACTATCAACGAACAAACACGACATTAACTGAAGGGTTTGGAATTGTAATATACATAATAAATAACGGCTATCGACACGTAGAGCTGGGCAGTGTTTCCACGATCTTGACACTAAATTATTGGTCAAAGAAGTAATATAAACGGTAAATATTAATATAACACCAAATCCTTACAATCGTATGTGTGTGTGGGATGCAGATTACTCAAAATTGGAGTATGTATGGGAGGAAGATTTTCCGACAGCGTAGACGAGATGATGTTGTCAAATTTTCGGAGCAATCCGCTCCTTTATGGAGACAAAGACACATCTTATAACTTGCAAAAAATGTAATATGCAATATGTGAGTGCATAACAACTACTGCTGCTCCATTTAGCAGAACAATCCAGATTTCCATGTGGCAAGGCACTTTAACCCACATAGCTATAGTTGTAAAGATACAGGTGGTTCCCATAGATAAGTACCTAACCTGAAATGTATCGAGACGGCGCTCGAGGGAAAGGTATTGGATCACCAAAATGCAAAGCCAGTACCCTCGATGTATGAACGAACAATAAACTGTTATTGTCCGTTTGTTGCCCTTCCCGGTCGGTATTTGGCAAGCTGGTTCACTGATATTAGTCTGGCGATTTTACGCTTTCTGCTACTTGTCAGTGAATAAGACTGACAATTTCCGTCAGATTTAGTGGGAAATGTCTGTTTCTCGTTGTGTCATTTCGTCACTTACTAAAAAATGTCTTTTGCAACAGCAAATATTTAATATGTATTTCCAGCTTCAGAATTGTTCTCCGCGCTCTGTATAATGTTATCCCTTTGTCGTTTTTCGCACACACAGTATCATTGGTCAATGATACGTTCCATTGTAAATTCTGCCATCGTCTAACGCTAGCAGAGGGGCTTATTGCTTTAAAATTTTAGTAATATCGTATATCATTTCTATTCTTTATTGTAATGTTAGTGCTCCGTGTTTTTCTGTGTCTGGACACAGAAGCAGTTGCTCCGAAAACCTGACAACCTCATCTACACTGTTGAATTTACTACCTGGTCCATTTATATATTACGTAGTAGCATTTTTTACTTGCTTTATTATTCAGTACCTCTTGTTTCTGAAACAAGTGACTCTAAATCATACATTACGTTTGATAGACGACTTGTGCGATAATAGATATAAAATGATAAAACGAAACAGAATAAACTTACTGGAATATAAGGAGTTCCTTTGTGTCTGGAAGGTCCAATAACAGCTGATTTGACTCTAAGCATTCATCATCTACGTTGATGCTACAGTTCTTTGGCGGGAGAGTGGTTGTTGGACTAGTGGTAGTAGTAGGAGTTGTAGTAGTGGTAGTTGGAGTGGTGGTAGTGGTAGTTGGAGTGGTGGTAGTGGTAGTTGGAGTGGTTGTAGTAGTTGTTGGAGTGGTTGTAGTGGTTGTGGTGGTAGTTGGAGTGGTTGTAGTAGTAGTTGGAGTTGTGGTAGTAGTAGTTGGGGTGGTGGTAGTAGTAGTGGGGGTGGTAGTAGTAGTTGGAGTGGTTGTTGTAGTTGTTGGGGGGGGTGTAGTGGTTGTGGGGGTAGTTGGGGGGGTTGTAGTAGTTGTTGGAGGGGTTGTAGTAGTAGTGGGGGTGGTGGTGGTAGTAGTTGGAGTGGTTGTGGTGGTAGTTGGAGTGGTTGTATTTGTAGTTGGAGTGGTTGTATTGGTAGTTGGAGTGGTTGTAGTAGTAGTGGGGGTGGTGGTAGTAGTAGTTGGAGTGGTGGTAGTAGTAGTTGGAGTGGTGGTAGTGGTAGTTGTAGTAGTAGTTGTAGTAGTTGGAGGAGGTGGTTCAACATCAAGGTCAGGTTTGTTGTCATCTGGATCAAAATCTATAGCCCCTTCAGGTGTTGTCACCTCTGCTCCCCATCCATCAGTTCTTCTGATAACCGCGGAGCAGAGAAACAGGATCGGTATCGCCACCTGAAGGTTTAAGCTAGTTCATCATTATTAATAAAACGTACACAAAACTAGAATGTAATGTTAACTAAAATCAGTCAATAAAACAAAATACATCAACAAAAACAAGAACCTACCCAGGTGTCAACAAAACAGTAATAAAGCAAATTATAAATAAGGTCGTCTATTTATTGACTCGCACATCAAAGGGTTTGTTACTACATTAGTGAATAGGTATCCATAAGTCAATATATCCCTTATTATATCTTGTATATACTTATATCACGCAATTCTATAGCTGCATTATTTACGCGTACCATCTCTTAACATCTCTGATTGGCCGGTTTCCCGGTGAAAATGGTCATCACGATATAGGCTTTAGAACAACTGTTTATAACATTTTGGCAAATAAATGACTATTTAAAAACAGACACTGTTATTATATAGGTTTTAAGACATTTGATCATAAGTCGAGCTGTGTGGTTGGGAACCCGAAAAAGGCAGAAAACCTGACATCCAACCTTATAGTTAATGAATGCACAGTAATTAAAAGATATTTTTAAAGCATACTAATTAACAACAGTAAACCTTCATGATGGTAAAAATGTAGTGGTCTGAAACGGAAAAATGAGTAATGATTCAATCTTGGCAGGTTAATATTTCATCATGCTAATACTATTGGTCTACAGCACACCATAAATAATTACTAAGAGGAATTCACTGCACAACTCATTTAAACCGTATAACGTTATTGAATTCCTACTCAATCTTTCGAAATATGTCTAACGAAAACAAGTCGAATATGTCGCTGAATGTGCACGAATCATGTCTGCCATCAGCATCCATACAAACAGAATACACCACTTGAACGTTGAACAAAGACCAATGCATCAAATATTTCAAATCAATTCTGCATCACAATAAATAAATTAAACTAATTCAAACAAGTTTGTGTACGCTGCTTTACAGATAGTTGTACAATATTTAATCACACCAAACTAACCTACAGCTGATACAGTTCATCTTTCCTTAATCGGACACTATTACTGTCGCTTCAATATTAATTAAGCTGTAATTAAACGTGAAGGATGCATTAGGCAATACTCTGCTTAATTTATCCTGACTTTCCCATCGACAAGATTTGCCAATTCCCTTCCTAATTTTACTCCACTGACATGAGTTACTGCGGATATTTCGAGTATGTAAATACCAATAACATAGTTAAATCATATCAAAATCAGTCATCAGTACATTTTTAGTACAAATTTGTTAAATGCTTACTACATGCATTGATAACTAGTACATTTACGTTAAGTCATACATGCATTTATTACTACATGCAGTACGTTTATGTAAAGTACTTACTATAATATGCATTTATCATTACATGTAGTAAGTTTATGTAACGTACTTACTACATGCATTTATTACTACATGTAGTACGTTAATGCATATAGTAAGTACTTAACGTAAACGTACTACATGTAGTAATAAATGTATGTAGTAAGTACATACATTTATTACTACATTTAGTACGTTTATGTTAAGTACTTACTACATACGTGTATTACTACATGTAGTACGTTTATGTAACGTTCTTACTACATGCATTTATTACTCCATGTAGTACGTTTATGTAACGTACTTACTACATGCATTTATTACTAAATGTAGTACGTTTATGTAACGTACTTACTACATGCATTTATTACTACATGTAGTACGTTTATGTTAAGTACTTACTATATGCATTAACTACTAGTACATTTATGTTAAGTACTTACTATCACGAATTCTTCAGTTTAGCTCGCCGGAGCCTTTCTAAATTGAAAAATTCAAAGACTCGTTTCATAAATCTCATATGAAATGTAAACTCATATAGGAACTTATATATACTTTTATAAAATGTATTACATTTTTGCCAGTGAAATATTGGATTCTATCAACTTAATAAAACTGACATATTTCACACTGTGACAAATATCAAAAGTGATAATTTCAGTATGAAAATATCATTTTTGGTATTGACCAACCATAACGGTATCACCTCCATGTATTCGCTGCATTCAAAGGCAACGATTTTTTTGTTCAGATTTATATGGGGCGACGGTAGAATAAGTGGTTGTTATGGTAAATGTTTGTTACACACACTTAAGTATATACATAAATATGCAATTGGTAACATTTTAATAAGCAATTATACCAGAAAATAGCAAAAAAACATCTGAATTGCGTTGAGTATCGCATTCAAAATGGCGCGCAGTCTTGTTGTAAAGCGTGACGTCATTAAAATATGGCACTAATTATTACACTTATGTTTCCCGCCCTTTTTAATGCATTTCATTTTTCATGTTTTATGCTTTAAAAATGTAGTACATAGAACATTCCTTAATGTCTTCAGTAAAAACAAATATATTTCACTCGTGTGGCTTATATTTTGAATTTTTCGCTCGCGCTGCGTAATTAAGAAAAAATATCAAAATATTAGCCACACTCGTGAAATATATTTGTTTTTACTGAAAACACATTTTAATATCCTCTATATATAACCTCGAACTCTTAAA